CTCTGCCAAGAGGCAGGGGCTGCCCGTTATTACTGCCGGGCTCCCTCCAGATCCTCATCAACTGAGGCTGAAACCACAACACGCACTTTTACACACCACTGCGGCGTGGGGCCCAGACCCACCCTAAGCTGGTCAAGAGGGGCTGGAAGAAAGCTGACAGCTTTCCCTCTTAAGGTTCTGACCCGTTGCCTGAGGTCACTCCCTTTGCTTTTGTATATTCACTCTAAAAAATAAAGGATCGTAACACTGAATTGTTTTTAAGGGCCTACATTTAGGAAGCTCACCCCATGAATGAATAAAAATAAGTAGTAATCTTATTTTCCCACACTATTATTAGTAGTAATTAGTAGTAGTAGTAGTAGTAATGCACACTAAGTTTGGGGAGCTTAGATTCTTTCACCTGGAGAGGAACAACTCCCTCCCGCAAAACAAAACAGGCACTATCTGGTATTTCTTCTGCTCCACCACCATGTTTCTGTATCTTTCCAGCTGCAGTATGGTCAAGAGAAGAACCAGCTGAACGAAGCCACGCTGCCAAGACAGAAGGTATCTGCACGCAGTACTCCAAGCTTGCTCTTTTTGCCAGGGAGGGCTGCTGTAACCAAATTCAACCCATTTGCACCAAAACATTAAAAAAAAGAGAAGTATTACGTGCTGAAAAAGAGAAGCATCGGTTTTTAATCAACCTGTCATCTAACAAATGCAACTATTTTATTTTGCTGCTGAAGACAACATCTCTGCTTTAACTCTACTCAAGGTCTTCAGCAGCCTCCTCCTCCTGAAGCCTGCAAATTTTCCAGATACTCGGTGACAGCCTCTATCTCTGCAAACTCCAGCAGTCTGTTGATGAGTTTATCCAGTGCTTCTTTCCCGCTCAGAATTTCCTACAAAAGAAACAAAGCCAGCCGAACGCATTACGGACTGTACACCAGTATCCTTCTGAAGCGCTGGCTACTCAAAGAAGGAGCTCCTGGAATGCACTTTGCTCATAGTCTTATCTTGCTGCATCCACTTGCTGGTCTTTGTGGCTCCCCCGTGTGAAAGCAACACGGGGTGGTGCACAGCAGCAGGACTTTGGCTGCCTGTGGAAAACACATGGATTCTGGCAGCAACAAAAGGAGCTACTGGTGCCTTCCTGCCATGCTTTCATGTAACCCATGTGTTTACATGAAAATCCCCAAGCAAGAACAATCAAGGACTGAAGAACCTAATTCAAATACTGTTGTTCATGCCAAGAACCAGTTTGTTTTGCAAGCAAAGCTCAGCTGCCTTTTGTGAGGCAGTTCATAGTTTCAGTTTCACTCAAGATAAATAACAAGCTCCCATTGCCAAGTAAGTGAAAAGCTCAACTAACAAAAGGCATTTTTATGCAGTCGAACTTCCTACCATTCTCCTCCACCATGGTATTTGTGTACCTATTCCCCACTCCACTCAACAGGAGTCATTCCACACTCAGCATGCCCTGTGTTCTCTGGAGTCACCCAGGACATCTCTGGTCACTTTGAAAAAAGTTGTTCCTTATGCAACAGCACTTACAGTAAAGTGGATTCCTAAACCAAAATGTTCAAGGGTCACCCTAAACTTTCTTATAAAATTCAAAACATTTTCATAAATCTAATACACAGAAATGTACTATCAGGTATTTGTTTCCCTGTACGAAAACAATAAATAAAGAACATTAAATCCATACGCAAACCTCAGGTCATCTTAAAGATTTAGTTTCAATTTTTTTTTGAACTATGGCCTGCAAGGCAAACAGAGAAGTTTTTCTTCACCACATTAGGAGAAGGACAGAATGACTTAAAAACAGTCCTTCATGACAGGTTTTCCTTTTGGATGCACCAAGCTTCAAGAATCTCGAGTGTCACTCACCCAGTTTGGCAAGTTCACAGCGTTAGTCACTGAGGACTAACAGGCCTGATCATTTTCACTCACAGAGCAGGAGCAAAGTAGGCAGAGAAGCAGGCCTGGGAGCTGTACCCCCTGCCACTCATCTCTAACACTACTCCACAGCCAGCCAGGAAAGGAAGTCAAAGCTTTATAAATGGACAATGTTCTGTCAGAGCAGAACTGGCTATCTGGTTCCCTCGCATATATTGCATTAATGATGTTAATTTATAAATGTTATGGCACACATTAAGTATCCAACATTAAATACTCTGATAAGCAACCGTTACCTTGATATTACGTGCATCGTATGAGATCCTGTGGTCAGTGACTCTGTCCTGGGTGAAGTTATACGTGCGAATTCTCTCTGACTGGGCTCTTGTTCCCAACTGTACCAAAGCAGCAAAAAACTAATTCTATTACATTATGTTTAAAAAAAAACCCAAAATGCTACTTTAAAACAGCATGCCTACAATAAACTTTAAAGGATCATCCTAGTGGTTCCTGGCTTAGATATGTTTTGTTTAAAAAAAATATTGTGGTGTTACAAAAGTGTATTATTTGTGATTCTGTATCACAGGCCAGGTTTTAACATCCTCCAGTACATTTCTGTGTCAGCTCTGTAGCTGGAAGAGTTACGTAGCTCTCAAAATTCAAGGCAAGAGATAAACCTATCTGAGTCCTTAGTTCAGAAACATGAGTGTTTTTCTTTTTTGGGAGGTTGTAGCTCCCACAAAAAAAGAAAAAAAAAAAAAAAGCAGCAAGCAGAAGTAGGCACCATTGACAACAGAAGCTGCACAGTCAACTCGTGGCAAAGCAGCTCCACTCATTTGCCTGTCAGAAATTAGCAGTGAAGAGTAAATTAAGAATACGAAGTGTAGTCCTCTAGTGGTAAAGTGCAGCAATGCAAGCGATTCTAACAGTTCAAAACAGAAATCAAAATGCAGCATTGTTGTGCAGTTAAATGCTTTATTAATGTGGAGAACTACATGCTAAAAACTGCTTAGAGAAATGGGTGCCTGTGGCAACGGATTTTTTTAAAACTTTACCTGCACCCAGTGTGTCTATTTCAAAACAGGGAATTTATTGAATAACTCCTGAAACATTAAAAAGGTAATTTACTTTTGCCTGATTTTCTGTAGTATTCCTATAAATGTACATCTCATTCCTTTCTGCAGCTTTGAAGCCTCGCAAGCTAAAATTAATAACAGAAGTTAAATGGCTCACTGCTTACAATGACAGAGTTAATAATCTGCAGAAACAACACACAAATGCAACTTGAAATCAATGATTAGACAGCCAAGCTGGAAACTCCAGGGTACTGAATCACTCCGTCATTCTAAAGTATTTTTATTCCTGGTGATCACTATTGAAGCTTGCACCTCAAATCAAGCACAAAAGAAAAAAGTACTCAAAGAATGGGAGAAGAATGACAGCACATTTCAAGAGAAAAGCAAGCTCTGCAGCGTAACTTGAGGCAACCCAAAATGTTATGGAAACTGTTTCTTCCTTAAAAGATTACCTAAACCAGAACAAATAAACTGCCACCTAACCATGTAGTGGCAGGATTGTTTCTGTACTACTTTCTTCTAAAAGCTGTGTATGTTCTTAGTAAAAGTACTGGTTTAGAAACAGGTTGAAACAGAACTTTGAGAACTTCTGGTCCTAGTTTCCATGGACAATAACTTTTTTAGTGGTGCTTTGTTTGTGCAACTCTGGCCTCGATACGGAGGTCACATACAAGATTTTGAGCGTTGCCTTTTGGCTAATTCCTACTAATCTTTTGACTCGTCTTTCTGGCTACAGCTGATGTCTCATTTTCATTGCCTGAGAAGTCTGCAACAGTGTTGAACTGGATTAAGTAAAAAGCAGACATACTATGTTAAAATGCAAGATTGTCCTTTGAGAGCACACCTGGGTAGACACACACACTCACACGCTCTATTGCTATCGCTCAAAAAGACCAGAAAGAACCCCACATTGCACCCTCTCCAAACTTCAGCAACCCCACGTTCTCACCTGCAGCTTTCTGGCACTCTGCTCTTGACTCAGTTGTTTGTCAATGATCTGCTGGTACAGCTTAGCTCTCAGTGTCCTCAGAGCTATCTCCTTGTTCAGCTGCTGAGATCGCTCCTGCTGGCACTCCACCGCCAGTCCTTCGCAGCAGGATTCAAGAGAGCTCAGATTAAAACCCCATTTTAACAAAGAACAAACAAGCTAAATTAATTCTAACACATCAGGCAAAATGAAACCTTCTCCAGTGCTGGTTTGTAGGGCCTTTCAGCTGTAGGATAAAAAGTCATTTTAACATCCTGGCCAGAGCCATTAGTATGTTTTTAAACTCTTCACAGCTGCAGCAGGGGCTTTGTTCTGTGCTACAGAAAAGTCAGGGGTATTTTAAAATTTCATGAAGCAAACAAGTTTCTGACATTGCCTCCAGAAAATGGGTTCGCTCCAAGTAGCTATCCCATGTTAAATATGTAATTTTTAAACATGCTGCTATAGACTGTGCAACAGTGGAACACAAGTTTTTAAAGTACTAGTCAAGATAAGCTCTTTTGAGACTGGAAAATTCATTATTCTAGCAAAGAAGAGTGTCTAAACAGTACTGGTGAGCCTTGAATTTAATTACAAATAAAAGTAAAATAAAGGTCTTTAGAAGAAATTTAGTACTTAGCTTTAGTTCTTATTTGATTTCTGAAATACAAAGGCATAGAGGAAACAGCTGGTTTCAGGTCACTACTGGAATTTCCTGTACCTAAAGACATTCCGCATCTGGACAGACAGAAGCCCATGGAATTCCAATGAAGACAAACCCTGAGGAAGACAGTTGTCCAGCCTACACACTCCCTTCCTACCAGTATGCATTCTCCTTTCTACTCAACGTATGATAGCATTAGCTAGAAGAACTTCAAGCCTCTTTTATCTTCAGTCATGTAATTACACAGGTTCACCCTTGGTTGCCAATGGCCATTATTCCTGAAGGTGCAGAGCATACAGCACCCACTATATACACCTTTCGTCCCATTCCTGTCATCCTCCATTTGTTCTTAGAATCACAGAATCATTAAGGTTGGAAAACACCTCTAAGGAGACCAAGTCCAACTGTCAACCCAACACTACCGTGACCACTAAACCATCCCAAAGTGCCACATCTACGCGTGCTTTGAACACCTCCAGGGATGGTGACTCCACCGCCTCCCTAGGCATCCTGTTCCAATGCCTCATGACTCTTTCAGGAAAGAAATTCTTCCTAATATTCAATTGAAACCCCCTCTGGTGCAAATTAAGCCCATTTCTTCTCATCCCACTCCTAGTTACTTGGGAGAAGAGACCAACACCCACCTCGCTACAACCTCCTTCCAGGTAGTTGTAGAGCGCAATAAGGTCTCCTCCAGACTGAACAATCCCAGTTCCCTCAGGCACTCCTGACAAGCCATGTTCCTCAGACCCTTCACCAGCTTCGTTGCCCTTCTCTGGACCCGCTCCAGCACCTCAATGTCATTCTTATCCTGTGGGGCCCAAAACTAACCCCTGTACTCAAACTGTGGCCTCACCAGTGCTGCGTACAGGGCAACAATCACTTAATTCCCTACTCCTGCTAGCCACACTATTTTTGATAGAAGCCAGGATGCTGTGGACCGCCTTAGCCACCTGGCACACTGCTGGCTCACGTTCAGCCAGCTGTCCAACAGCACCCCCATGTCCTTTTCTGCCTGGCAGCGTTCCAGCCACTCTTCCCCAAGCCCTCTTCATCCTTCTAAGATAGTGTATTCATTACACATGCTCTTTGAAGACAAAACTGGTGTAACATCAACTTGCTGACCATTGTGCCACTGGCACATATCACACACTTGTCTCACACACTGTCTCACACACTGCCCTGCCAGAAGAGTGGCAGAACTAGAAGGGGCTGCTTCTTTTTTTTTTTTTTTTTTTGGTATAAGGCCCAGCCCTGTAAACTTACTGCAAGAGACAACCTACAGGATCACAAACTTTCTGTTCGGGATACAGACATGGAGTGATTAGAAGCACAAAATACAGCCAGACTTACCTGTGGGAAGGTGTACAATTCTCACAGCACTATCAGTTTTGTTAACATGCTGCCCTCCTGCTCCTTTGGCCCTGAACGTATCTATACGCAAATCTTTGGGATCCACTTTAATATCAACCTAGAAGCAAAGAAAATTACTGCTTTCTTCTCTTTCCAAAAATATTTGAATGTCAGTGATAGTGTAAAAACAAAAAAAAATCACATTTCAAAATTGCTCCAGTACAACTGTTTCTGAATAATAGCTATAATTATTATACTTCAAAAGAAATGCAGCGTCAAATATCTCTGCAAAGAAAGTGATGCTTTAAATATTCCTTTTTTTTTTTTTTTTCCAAACTGTCACTCCAGGTCCTTCACAAAACAAGGTATATGTGTGTGTGTGAGAAACAAAACAAAATTACCAACTTTTTCTAAAATCACTAGCTTGGGCAGGGAGACTAAGAAATAAGCAAATAATAAAAAACTACTTCTCCACAGCAGCGTAAGGATCTTGCTCATGAGCCACGCCTGAATGACTCCTGCAACAGTGTTTAAAACCATCTCCATCTAACTGAGGAAATAATCCACGTATGCAAAGGATACACCTTTGGAAATGTGAGTTCATGGTGACCTGAACCATAGTTTGAGCTCAGTGGATGGGAAAGGAACATTCAGATCTGATGAATGTTGCAAGGAATGCATTACAAGGAAGCAGGAGGACATGCAGGGAAAGCCTACAGGTTCTGTTTTTGTTTATTTTGCATGCACATTGCTGGTTTAAGTGAGAACTGTCAGTATTAGTGAGATTTCAGAAAGACCAGCCAACACACACATTCAAATTCAAAGCAGACTGTCCTTGATTTAACAGAGAAGGACATCAGTAATTTCAATGAAACAAAAAAAAAAAATCAGAAAGGACCTGCAGAATCACATTACTATGCAACAGTGAATATTTTCTTGGATATATTCCCTGTCTCAATACATTACACAATTTAAAATTGGCTTAGTCATAGCGGCAAGCTTTGTGAGTGCTGGGGCTGGAATACTCACTGGAAGGATCACTGATTTACACACCATTTCAGGCAGTGGCAAACCTCTGCAAAGTGACTTCTGATGACCAATTTAAACACGTTAAGAACAGAGCCAAGGACTATCAAGTCAGAGAACTCGCAGTTCACTTGCTGGGTCGTGCACAAAGCCCTTGGGTATCAATAAAATCCCCAAACAGTAACAGTAACGCGGTTTTAAGTAACACCTTCTCCAATGCCAAAATGGGCGAGCAGGGCTGCTCTCATGCCATTAGCTTACCCCCTCTGGCTGCGGGAGGACGATAACGGACATGGTGCCCGTGTGGATCCGCTGCATGCGGGACGACAGGCCCGTCTCGGGGATGCGCTGCACGCGGTGAGTCCCTCCTTCGTACTTCAGGTGCCTGTACACGTCCTCTCCCGAAATGTGAGCGGCGGCATGATGCAACCCCCCTAGAGAGACCAATAACGAGTGGCCAATACAGCACGGAAACACTGCCTTTGACTTCACTGTCTTAGTGGAATGTCTGAAGAACTACTGTACCCATCTCAGCCAGCGTATAGTTCACAATGTCAAAGGTCCAACGTTTATAGTCTGCATAGCTCTGGTACATCTCAAACATTTCTTTAGTGAACTGTTGGCAGATGTCTCCTAAAAATATAAAAGACACTATGACATAAATAGCAGTTCACAAAATGGCAGCCACCAGCTTTTTGATTTAGCTGCAATTCTACACACAGTCATTAGACAGATTAACTCTTCTTTAGAAAGTATTACGTTATACCATTAAAGTATAAAAAGGCATTAAGAATAACTTATAAGAGGTTTAATAAAGTTGGATGGAGGTTTGAAGTAATCTTTACTGTGGGGACTTTGCTGACCTCCAGTTGTTCTGCCAGCTGTCACTTCTAATATGACATGACTTCCATCATATTTTTCCTTTGGCACTAGAAGCTGGAAAAGCTGGGAAAAAAAAAAAAAAAAGAAAGAGAACGTTATTATCTCCTTCATGACTCTGTACCTCCTCTTAATCAACTTTACAGCCAGCCTTCACAATTGCCACAGCTTGAGCGCATGTAACCGCTGATTTCTTTTGGCCAGCTAATAAGTAGGACTAAAAACTGTCCAATGGCCACCGCAACTCAGAGCAGTCAATGGGACGCTGGTGCATCCACAGGAAAGCTACCTGAAAACTCAGTCCCTGAAAAGTCAGGTGCCAGGTCACCCAATCCAGCCCCAACTCTCTATGAATGCAAAGTTATCAACTGTAACCCAGCCAATCTTTACATTAATCTTTTTTGCGAAGTCCCATTTCATATTATCTTAATCTGAACAGAGAAATGAGCCCCAACACAGAGCTCTCCACTGAGTCGTTTCAGCTGCTCTGCTTATAATGAATTTCCCTACTCATGGGGTGCTGAAAATGAGACTCCACGTTCCAACCAGAAATCTTTCCAGAAGTCACACTCTGCTGCCATAAACAGTTACTAGGATGTCAGGTCAGGTCGCAATAGTAAAGACCCACCAGTTTTTTAATCCCCTCCAGCATCTGCAGACAGACGAGCAAGTAAGCTAAAATGACAATTGTCACTAAGAAGCTTACTAATAATTAACGTTGCCACTTCTTTTTGAGGAGCATACAGAAGTTGGACTTGTGTTTCACTAAACACAAGTGTCAGAGTCTGTTGCTAAGATCACAAAGGAACATTTCTCTGACATCTTTATTCACAAAGCTGTATAATTTTACCTTGGCCTCACCTTTCTGCACAACATGTTGATTTTTTTATCCAGGGCTTCCTTCTCTTCTAAGGCAAGCTCTAGAAGTTGTTTCTCATCTCGGCTGTCTAATTCTGAATTCCAACAACAGGAATAGATGTTAGCCAGTCTCACCTAGCACAGAGCAAATTGTAACAGGTGTCTAAAAACACACATTGCAGCACATAAAAACTTGTGGTTCTGCTTTGCCAACATGAAAAGGCACATAGGGGCAGCCCAAGCCAGGATGCGCACTGCTACCCAAATGACCCCATTTTTCAGGCATGCTGGAAGGAGCAGCAGATCTCCCCTCCTTCAATCTCCACCTTACAGCTCAGAGTCTGCATCAAAGAGATGTCAGTCCTACAGGACAGTTACTCACCCTCAGTAATTCTGATGGTTATGTCACATAGATTGACGGTCCAAGGGTAAATCCACAAATGGATTTGACAAAACACATCAAAAGCAAGCCCGCAGACAAGTTTCCCTTACTACAGTTTTCCATGCACCAGAATTTATTTCCAGACTTGCCCAGAAGCACCCATATATGCAACAATTTGTAGGCAACTCACTAAGGTGAGCATTACAAATAATTGTATGATGATAATAATGAGGTTTCTAACTTTCTGTTAGGGATCACTGAGATGTGGGAGTTATGGATGCAAATCATCAGCATGTGGGAGACCTCACTTGGACTCTTTGCTTTCCTTAAGGAGATTTCCATCCCCTCCCTTCAGCACATGAGACAACCTGGAGTACTGCGTCCAGCTTTGAGCTCCCCAGTACCAGAATGGCATGGAAATGCTGGAGTGGGTCTAGTTGAAAACCACCAAGGTTCTGGATGGTCAAGGGCTGGAGCAAAGCACATACCAGAAAAGGCTGAGAAAACTGTTTGTTCAGCCTTAAGAAAAGCAGGGGGACAAGAGGTTTTACTGTTGTGTACAACTACCTAACAGAAAGGCATTGAAAAGATGGGGACAGACTCTATATCATGATAAAAGGAGACATAACCTGGAACATGGGAAATTCTGATAACATATCAGGAGAACTATTTTCACCCTAAGGGTGATCAGACACTGGAACAGGGGCTTAGAGAGGTTGTAGGATCTCTGTCTTCAGATATATTCCAAACTGAACTGGACAAGGCCCTGTGCAACCTGCTCTAACTGGTCCGTCTTTGTACAGAACATCAGACCAAATGACCTCCAGAGGTCCTCTTCAAACTGAATTATTAAATGATTCTGTGATTAGATTGTTTCTTCACACATTTCAAAGCTCACTACCAAACTTGGAAAGACTCTTGGGTGAAGCTAGCAGAAGCTCCAAGCCTCTTCTGCTGTGGAAGTTCCAATTTACCATAATAAAAGACACTGATCAGTTAGCATTAGATTATACACTTAATTAGAAACTTGGAAGACAGCTAGAATCAAGTGGAAAACCTGGCACTGCCAAACCAAAGAGCACCCTCTTCTTGCCATCTTTCTTCCCACTGTTCTACCAGCTAAGTGGTGGCCATCATTCATCTCATTAGAAAAGGAAACCAATTCAACTCACAGAAAGGAAAAAAACACATGTCTGGTTAAATAGCTGCATGTATTTTTCCATACCTAGTTAACTGGATTTAATTTACAACTGGACAATTACCAGCACAAATGAGGGACTGGGGAAAAACAGCCTTGGCCAGCTGGTGTGAGAGCAAGGGAAAAAAGCCACAAAGAGGTGGGGAAAATCTCATGCTTTGTGGCCAGTGTGGAAGCCTCAGATGCAGCATAAAACCAGCCCCTTGACAGCTGGATGGATCTCCTCACCTTGCACGAGCAGCCGCCTGAGCTCTGGATGCTCTGGGAGGAATCGGGCATCTCAAGGGCAGCTGCAAGGACCACAGGCTCCATGTCTCTGGGCATCTGCAGCCTGGTTCCCGTTCACAGCAGCTAACACTCACACGTCTACTGGTGGCCCCAGCTGTTGCAGTGCGCCTCCTGGAGACAGAGGTTTCTGATGCCTCTTTGTCCCCAGACAGGGGCACACATCCAGAATTTTCCACCTTTCCCAGGTTGTGGTTGGCTTAGCCACCACAAGACCAATCCCCTAACACCCATTGGACCCCTGACCTGTAGGTAACCCATCCGTGCATCCTTACAGAACAATGCCTTTGTAAACCCACCTACCTACCTGTTAAAAACCCCTGGCCCCAAGGCCACATGCTCTTTCGCTCCTCCCCTGGGGTGGGTGCTGTTAAGTGCCTGCCTCAGGTGTTTTTGTTTGTTATTTTCACGTTATTAAAACCTTTTATTTTGGAAGAAAGCGATCGTTGCCCATCCTTCCTTTACTCGTCACTGCCCTCCTCTTCGCTGACGACCACCCTGGAGGTACTACTGGGGTCCCGCTGGGGGTGTTTTCTTCCCGGGCAAAACCAGTGGGCTTAAAACCCCCTCAAAATATATTTTTGCAAAGTTATACCCAGCAGCCAGTCTTAAGGACTCAGTGGGCTGGGATGTTCTGTCAGCTTTGTATACTGGCCAAGGACAGCAGCAGCTCCTTCATACCAACATTTTATATTTATGCTCTGCGTGTTTTTTCCCTAAATAAAAGATGTTGGGAACAAGAATCACAGAATGGTGGGGGTTGGAAGGGACCTCTGGGGATCACCTAGTGCAACCCCCCTGCTAAAGCACTTTTGCCTAGAGCAGGATACACAGGAACACATCCAGGTGGAGTTTGAAAGCCTCCAAAGAAGGAGACTCCCCAGCCTCTCTGGGCAGCCTGTTCCAGTGCTCTATTGTCCCCACAGTAAAGAAGTTTTTTCTGATGTTGAGGTGGAATTTCCTGTGTTCCAGTTTGTGCCCACTGCCCCGTGTCATATCACCAGGCCCCACTGAAAAGATACTGGCTCCATCCTCTTGATACCCACTCTTCATATATGATAAGATCCCTTCCCAGCCTCCTCTTCTCCAGGCTAAACAGACCCAGGTCCCTCAGCCTTTCCTCTTAAGAGACGTTCCAGTCCCCTCATCATCTTCCTAGCCCTCTACTGGACTACCTCCAGTAGTTCCTCATCTCTGTTGAACTGGGGGGCCCAGAAGTGGACACAGTCCTCCACATGTGGCCTCTCCAGGGCAGAGCAGAGGGGGAGGAGAATGTCCCTGGACCTGCTGGTCACACTCTTCTTAATGCACCCTAGGATACCATTGGCCTTCTTGGTCACAAGGGCACGCTGCTGGCTCATGATTAACTTGTTGTCCACCAGGACACTCAGGTTCTTCTCCAGGGAGCTACTTTCCAGCAGGCCAAACCCTAACCTTTACTGGTGCCTGAGGCTACTCCTCCTCAGGTGCAGGACTCTACACCTGCCCTTGTCGAACTTCTTTAGGTCCCCCTCCACCCAACTCTCCATCCTGTCCAGGTCTTCCTGAATGGCAGCACAGCCTTCTGCTGTGTCAGCCACTCCTCACAGCTTTTTATCATTGCCAAATTTGCTGAGGCTACACCTTCAGTCCCATTCCTCTTTCTCCAGTGAAGAGAAATTGAAAGGATTGGGGATTAAAACATTTTCAATAATTTTTTTCAAAAGCATAAACACCTATTTATTTCTAAAATTAAAGAACACAAATGTTTCCTACCTTTCTGAACAAGTTGAATTTTTAACAGCTTTATTTCAATATGTCTTTTACTGTTTTGTCAACACCCCTTGGTTCTGTCTCTGAAAAGCACCATGAACTTTCAACCTCCTGCATTGACACCTCTGGCTACTCATTTCTCCTGCCCTTTGCTTTGCCTTTGCTTATCTTCTTTCCTGTAGGCCCCATTCTCTCCAGGCCAATGTTTCTCTCCCCTGTCTTAATCCCTACTGGTGTAGCAGAATGGATGACATTTTTTCTTTCCTACTTCTTCTACCTCCTCAAACTTTTAACAATGTTTTGTTTTTTTTTTTTTTCTCAAATTGTTGCACTATTACTTATTTTGTAAAATCTTTTACTCCCTGTGCACTTTCTTATTCCTAAATGGTATCAAAAACAGCAACAACTTCTTCTTTTGAACCCACACTTCTACTGTAGCAGAGTACTGAAAAGCAACATCTTCTTATACAACTGTCAATTTTTATTCCTTGAAGGATTCCTCAAATAGTTTCAAATAAATATTAGCTTTTGCCATTTAAATTGGGAGCTGACAATTCAAAAAAGAACTCTCTCCTAAAGAGAGTTCATGTAATTTGCTCACTAAGTTTCATTGAACTGGCTAGATGGAATCCCATTTTAAATGACATGGATGAAGTCTGCATCTATCAAATGGCTTGCTCATTTTTTTCCTTCAGTTCTATTAGGTTCTATTAAAAAGACAACCCTAAAAGAAACATTTTCAAAAAACTTCTACTAGCTCTGAGATTCCAGATGATCCCTGCTCTCCCAAGTTAGCTATATTAAGACCTCAAATGGAAGTGAGGTGAGACGAAAGAAAGTGGCTGGATGTAGAAAGCCCCAGCAGCACACAAGCTCCCAGGAGCAGGCAGGACCAGAGAGTCTTCCATGGCTGGCCTAACTTTTTTAAAACCTTTCCTTAAAGGCTAGGTACTGAAATCTATCACAAGCAAAGCTACTGTTTTGAAACTACTAAGTAGGAGTCTTCTCCTTACCTTTGCACATAGCTTCTAACTCCTGAACTTCTCTTTCAGCCTCTTTGATTTCTTGAAATGCAACTGCAATGGGGGACAGATTGGCACATCTTCTCTTCAGGGTTCTTTGCTCAAAGTCACTTACTGAGTCAGCATTTAACAGATGACTAACCTGCTGGTATTCCTTGCTTAGAGACTCCAGATACTTCTGCACAGCCTCATGCTTCCACAATGCTCGAGAATCCTGATGCTTTTTCCTATGCCAAATGTTAAAAGCCAGAGTGAATGTAGCTGTGTCCAATAAAGATTTTGGCCTCCAAAATCCACCGTTGTGCAGTCCCACCATATAACCTATATTCTTTGCAATAGGAGGGAGAAGATAGCTGTGAAGTTGACTGCGACAGCAGCAATTTGCCAACAGGCTCTTGAAAAGGCACACCCCTTGGAAAGATTTCATTTTCTTATTTGTTTCCACCACCTGAAATTAAAACAAGATGGTACATGGACCAGTGTTATTATCTAGAAAAAAAAGAACATTCTATTGAAAAAAAAACAAAAACACAACAAAACCAAACTAACACGAACAACTGTATCAAGCCCAAATCCTGTTGCTGACTACGCTAACACAAATGCAACTGTCATAGACAAAACTGTTCCTGTTTTAGTCCTGGTTTAAACCACTAACTTTTATTAGCACTGTTGTACTGACTGACAGCTGGAAAACGTCTTTTCCCTCACCTCCTGAAACAGTTTATTTATGCTATGGAAAAGCTACTGTAGATGTGGCTGTACAGAAAACAGCTTCATTCTGTCATATGTCTCATTGGAAAAATCCAACCATTTAATGCTTTACTAATAAAAGGAAAACCTTGCTGAGAGATGATAAATCTATACCAGAGGTACAGAAATCTGTACAGAGAACATATGAAATGTCCAGAATTACGTTCAAAATTATACCCACTATCATAACAATGGGCATAATAAACTATCATAACATGACATTACCAGTCAGTAAGACTATAATAGACTTGGAAGAAATTACTCAGCCACATATATACACTATCTAAAACATGGGAACAAGTGCTTAACATCCCCTGTGTACTCCTTCCCATAATATACTTGCACGTGAGTGACATCTTTTCCATCCAAAAAGCAAGTAAGAAGCTGGTACACTGAAGTACAACCCCTGTATCTTTCTGAGCCACTTGGCCTAGTTTTGCAGTCACAGGGTCCCCTTAGCATCACCACTACTCCAGGAAAGATCTTTTCCTCTGCATTTTACATCAACACTGCAACTATGTTACAAATTCTTACCATGCTCTAAAAATGAATATTCGATTGCAAGGGTCTACCAAGAGGATTAAATAGAAATATTTGTATTTTAGGACTACTGACATGGAAAAGGTTTAACAAAGAAGCACTGCTTAATATCGCTGCCACTGCCATAATGTCATCTCTCTGCTGATTTTTACCAAAAAAAGTAGCTTCAGGGAAAATGAGAGCATGAAACTTTTGCAACAGGACCTCCTTGACACACACACTTCATTTTTCCGACACAATTATCCTTTACTCATCAATGCATCTTCAGGAATTTTATTAACAAATACTATGACATTCTAACTATTCAACTCCCACCGTTATGCTCACCTATTTACTTTCATCCACAATGAAGAAAGGACAACATGCAGTCAAGCCACAAGTCCTGTGTCATGCTTCTCCAGGTGTCTGTTCTATTACCTACAGAAGGAGGGAAGGACCTTTATTCTGACGCACCTTCCCAAGCCTCCCCAGCCAGTAGGTGCTATCGAACCCACAGCAGCCACTTCAGGACTGATTTAATGTACAGAAAGCAAACGACACCCCTCATGGACTGCTGCAGTGACTAAAATCAGCTGTAGCAGAGGGATTACATTCCTTTCACCAGGAACAAAGCAGAAGGCACAAACCTGGCTCACCATCTACAACCCTGGACTTAGTTGCTATGAGGCATGTGTAGATTCAATTCCAAACAACCTACTTCTGCTCAAGATCCTGGAATTGCTCCATGTCAGCATGGTCCATTGTCGTTCAGCCAAGTGTTAACCATCATCTAATTTTTAAAATAATAATGTTATATTTTCTTTTAATAGATTATATTAATTATGACCATCTAATTAATTTTTTTCCTGTGTGGTTTAGAAGCAATGTACTCAAATACTAATAGATTAGTAGCATAGTTCTGCCTGAGCTCTCAGAAATAAAATTATCAGTTTCAAATGCCTAAAAACCCTAGGTAATAGCATGACATAGAGCTTCAAGGAAGTCAGGAATTTCAAAATAGCCTTGCTGTGTTAAATAAAAAAGTATCTCCTTTTCAGAGAGATGGTGCCACATTATATTTGTGCAGAGATAAGCACACAGGAAACTTTTACAGAGCTATGAGCAGCAGACAAGCTATTCTTCTCCAGTTTGCTTTCCAAAACAGAACTTAATAACTTTTTAATCTGACAAAATTATCCTGACACATCACAAATCAAATCCAGTAAGCAAAAGCGATGGCCGCAATTGTCTTAGTAAAATAACCAAAAAAAAAATAGACTTGTAAGCTATAGAAAGGGCAAAAAGGAAAGAGTTACCGTATTGTGACCGGTTTAAGAGGTTTTTTAAATCCAAGACGCTATTACGCCCATGCAACTGTATTGAGACAGGAAGAGGAAGGAGCTGTAACAGGGAGAGCTCAAGGCCACGCCACCGAGGCCACCCTTCAACCACCTCTGCCTCCCCTCGCACCTACCTGGCACAAACCCCCCAAAAATCCTCCCGACAAGGCTCTGGGGGGACGGGGAAGGCGGGGAAGCCAGAGCAGGCAGCGGCAGCGCGG